CTGCTGCCAGCCTCATGCCTGGCCACGAGTCCTGCCCCCAGGGTGGAGGGGGTGCTTATTGTGATAAGTAGTTCAGTGACCATGTTGGCACTCTGCAGCCAGAGAAATTAGTGTTGTAACTTTGCATGCCGTGCTTTTACTGCCATTCTAAATGGAAGATACAGATGGAAGTGAGCCTAATGTAATTGTCTTGTAATCACCATGGAAGTAAAGCATGGTAAAATGTAAGGCTACATGAGTTGGGTGAAGGGGAAAGGATATAGAAGGCAGAGTGTGTGCATCTAGAAGAAAAATGAATGTTTTCTTAGAAATCAAGATGCTTTACCTGTCATATCGTCACTGTGCAAGTAACCTAAGGTTTAGACTACCTGGGATGCTTTTCAATCTTCAACATTAATGCTATGTACTGTTGTTCTTTCTGTGCCTCCCACTTTTTCACATGATCACATGCTCAGATCAGATCTATTGTAGGTGTCATTTTGTGTGTTCTTTTGTCCCCCTTTCTCAAGAACTACTCTTTAGACATTCGTAATTTTGCCCATCAGTTGCCAGTCTTTCCTTCTCAGGAACATTGAGAAGACTTAAACAAAGTGAATCTGATCCCATCCATAGGCAAAGGATTTCCCTGACCCCTGTCAGTATGGTTTAAGTAAGGCCTGAATGTGTTACGGAGAATGGCTTGACCTTGCTAGTTGATCATCTTTGGCTAACAGGGAGCAGATCTTCACCATTGAAGTTAATTGAGACATTTTAAACCATTTGGCTACATCTACATTACAAGGTTCTTGCACAAAAATGACTTACTGCATGGCACACCGTGACACCCTCTGCAGCATCCTGTCCTGCACGGGGGAATAGGTGCCTGCTGCCGCTGCTTCTCCCTTCTATCCTCCTGCCCCCCCATCTATTCCCATGGCCCATCTGTCTGCCCACCGTGCCATGTCTCTTCTCCTTCCCTTCCCCATGGGCATGTCTCCTTCCCCAGTCATGCCTTTGACCTCCTCCTCTGGCCCTTCCTCCTGCCCTCCTGCTGACCCTGGCCTTGCTCCAGCTGCTCCTTCTGCCCACCCCATTGGGGCACCCAGAGCTGCCCAACCCCGACAATGTCCCCACACCCAAGGGGGCTCAGCAAGCTGCCCCACCACTCCTCCCAGTTATGATCCCCCCTCCCAGTTCAGACAGCCCCCCTCCTCCTGCCACCCTCATTTCTGTTAAATAAAAAAACAGTCGTATTGTTTGAAAACCAAACAGGTGTGTTGATTGGGAGGTCAGGGTAGGGCAAGGTGAGAGGGGGAAGGGAGAGAGAAGAAAGGGTGGAGGTTCTGGGGAGATTTACAGTGGTTCCTGAGAGAACCTCTCCCTCAGGGCCTCCTGGATGCACACCCCGGCCTGATGGGCCTGGCGGGTGGCAGCTGTCCGGGGCTGCTCAAAAACCCCAGGAGAAAGGCCTCCCCCTTGCGCTCCACCAAGCTGCGGAGCACACAGCAGGCCACCACCACCTCGGGGATATTCTGCTCCCCGACGTCCAGGCAGCTGAGGAGGCAGCGGAACCGTCCTTTCAGACGCCCGAAGGCGCACTCCACCTGGAGGCGGGCTCTGTTCAGGAGGGCATTGAAAATGTCCTTGGTGCAATCCAGTTGGCCGGTGTAGGGGCGCATTAGCCCGCTATGCACACTGGCATGGTCTGGTCGCCCACAGGAAACTCCCATCGGGGGAAAAAGGTGCCCACCTCCAGCTGGGAGCACAGGCTGGAGTTGCGAAAATCTGGGGCATCGTGAGCCCTGCCTGACCACTCTACGTAAATGTTTGTGAAGTGGCCCCGGTGGTCTACCAGGGCCTGCAGGACTACCAAGAAGTAGCCCTTTCGGTTGACAAACTGGGCCGCGTGATGTTCCAGGGTCTGGATGGGGATGTGCGTGCCGTGACCCCCCCCTCCCCCGTGAGCCCGT